AGCTGCTTTCCAGTCTATCTTCCCTGCAACTCTTTGAGGCCCCTCTTACTGAACCTGACCCGCATACCACGTTCCAGTCTGCTGGTGAAATTAGAGTGGGTCACGGGCCCCGCCAGAGTCCTGTCTGCTCTCTGCCCCCTCTGGACCACGTTTTCACCTGCCGTCCTCGGGCCCTCGCTCACCGGGCCTCGCTCCTCCCCAGGTCCTGGACCTGCGCCGCCTCTACTCCAACGACATCCACGCCATGGCCAGCACTTACGGCATCGAGGCGGCGCTGCGGGTGATCGAAAAGGAGATCAAGGACGTGTTTGCTGTGTACGGTAAGGGGCCACCAGGCGGCTGGGGTCAGGACGTGGGAGCTGAGAAGGTCTGGCCGGAAGGTCCTGAGGGCCCCCCCACCGCCTGGGCCTCGGCCTCTGGCCTGAGGAAGGTCCTCACTGCCCTGCGGTGAGAACACCTGGCTCCCGTCCCCACTGCTGCTGGTGGGGAGGGGAAAGACGGGCATCATCCTGATAACCAGGGGTCAGGGAGGAACTCCTAGGCCAGGCCGGGGTCAAAGGACACAGCGAGTAAGTGGGGGGGACTGTTAAGAAGCAGCCTGCCTTGAGTCAGGGACACCCCCACTTCTCCCCTGTCCCCTGGTCAGCGCCTCATCCTCCCTGTGACAGGCATTGCGGTTGATCCGCGCCACCTCTCCCTGGTCGCTGACTACATGTGCTTCGAGGGCGTTTACAAGCCGCTGAACCGCTTTGGGATCCGGTCGAACTCCTCCCCTCTGCAGCAGATGACGTTTGAGACCAGCTTCCAGTTTCTGAAGCAGGCCACCATGATGGGTCAGTGGGCTGTTTCTGCCTGAGACCTTGGCTGCCCTGGCCTCCACGACAAGCCCCCGTCAGTGGCCTAACGGCAGCTCTTGTGTCTCCCCCAGGTTCCCACGACGAGCTGCGGTCCCCTTCCGCCTGCCTGGTGGTCGGGAAAGTCGTGAAGGGCGGCACAGGCCTCTTTGAGCTCAAGCAGCCGCTGAGATAAGCGGCCCCTTAGCCCTGGACCTTGGGCCAGGAGGACCTGCATGGGAGCCTGGCCCACCCCTCACAGGGAGCCAGTGGAGGTGCTGGGCAGATGGGACTCCGAGGGCAGTGTGGGACAGGCTTCAGAAAGTGCCTGCCTTGGGACCAGACTGGCGTCACCCGGGACAATCACCAGACAGTCCATCCACAGGATCCAAGACCCCATCTGAGGCCCTCCACTCAGGTTGGGCACTGATGCCAGGGGTGGCAGCCGTGACTGCAGGGAAGACTCGGGGGCTTCCCATCTGCAGCCCTGACCCCTCCCCCGTATCTGTGCCTGGGGCGGTGCCCTTCCTAAGTGTCCTTCCAGATCAGGTCAGCCCTGGGCCAGGCCGGGGTGGTCACACCACACTGCCAGCCGGTCTCTGTCTGGGCTGGGCTGGGCTGCTGGAAAGTGTCTGCCCGCTCCACCACAACCCCCACCCCACCCAGTCTCACACCAGTGTGTGGTGCAGCACCACTGCAGTCGGGCCCACAAAAATGGTGTTCCTCCGGAGCCGTCTCTAGCTTTGTCTGATGTTGCTCCAGCTCAGGCTGAGTAGCACCCTTCACTGAGAGCGTCAGGAAGGAGGGAACAAACAGGGTGGGGGTGAGGTGTTCATTACTGGCCCTGGTCGGCAGCTTCTGCACCTTCAAGTTGAGTTGAGCGCCTACGGCTGGGTTTCTCAACTGACGTGCGGACTCATCCTGGTTGTGGGCCCCTCACAAGTGTTGGGGTGGGGGCTCAGCTTCTGCAGCCCTCATCTCACTACCTAGGTGGTCCCTGCAGTGCCCACCTTCCCAGCCTTCTCTGGCCCAGGGTCAGAAAGACAGTGGGTGGGGAGTGTGGCTGTGCTGGCCTTAGTGTGTCCCAGGAAGGGCTGCTGCCCATGACTTCGGTCTGGGGGGGTAAGAGAAGAGACCTTGCCAGGTGGCCAGTGACCAGGCCACCTGCTCCAGACTCTGGTTTGCTCCTCTGTCCACGGTGGGGGTGGGGGGTGCCTGTGACAGGGACTGCTTGGTGCACCGGCTGGAATGGGGGTGAAGGGCAGGTACGCTGCCGAGTGTGAGTGCTCTGAGACACACATTGCGCACCAGTATTTCAGCCTCGGGTTTCTTGGGAAGCTGGTGTCCCTGCTAAAGCCACCTGCCCTCACTGCCCCCGTCTGACCACGTGATTACCTGAGCACGTGCTCTTGGGACGAGCAGAAGACAGAACAGGTGATTTTCAAGCCCCCGGTCCAGAGCTTGCACAGTGATCAAGCCATGACTCTCGGATAATGTGCTCATTCTGCTCCCGTCTCTCAGAGTGGCTGCCTGGGAGTTTGAAGACCTCCCAGCCTCGGGGTTGTAAATGATTCTTGGCCGAGGGTTGTGCTCCAGTTGGGGGTTGGGGGTGTGGGGAGCCACAAGACAGCTCTTCAGATGACCCTATGCTATTCAAGATGATTTTTGGTCAAAACAGAATGGAGTGTTCGTCTGCGGAGATTCGCAACCTCAGGAGCTGTGAACTCTTAGCCAGCCCCCGCCCTTGGGCCCGCTCCTGTCGCCTGTTAACGAGGCAGCATCCATCATGCCTGCTCATTGGCTGTTTAAGATCCAGGACTGTAAAATCCCTGGGCTGTTCCCCCCACAGGCACCACCAGCAGGGAGCCTGTGACTCCCTTTTCAGTAAACAAGACTCGGGAATAGAGCAAGCGCCCTGTCAGGCTCCCAGTCTGGGAATCTGGGACCCTCAGTTTCTCGCAGACGCCCACCCGCCCCTACATACGTTTGCCGTTGGCCCTCTCGGAGCTTTGTGGGCTGTTTTAAACCATTTAAATAAACTACGTGCAACCTGAGTTCTTCCTGTGCTGCCTTCCTACCACTGTGATGCTGTTTTAATAAGGCTGTGGGGCCTATCGGCGACCTGCATTTACGTGGCCTTAAACACTTAGCAGCAGCTCATTGGAATTTCCCATTTTAAAAGCCAAGCAAGCATCGCTTGTTTAATGAGGATTATCCCTCACGTTCATCAGCACCGCTCCTCCCACGGATGGTCACTGGAAAGCTGGATGCAATTAAACTCCGGGCACAGCTCTGGTTTGGTTCCAGGCCCAGAGAAAGGCCTAGGAGCTGCTTCCAGGCACGGGGTTGACCTGAGTTTGCCTTGGTGGCTCGGATTTCACAGGGTGGCTCAGGTGACTGACCTTGAGCAAGTCTAGGGGCTTGGGCTCCCTGGCCTGGCAGGCCTGCTGCAAGGGAAAGATCTCTTGCCATTCCAAGCGCTCAGAGAGCGAGCTTTGCAGGCCTGCCCTGTGAAGGATCGAGGGCCCCAACACACAGGGCAACAGGAAGTTCAGCAGTAGGGTGACCAGACTGGAGGTGGAGGCCCTGCCCAGCATCCTGTCCCCACTCCTGGGCCTGGCTTTTGCCCATCCAGCTGCATGTGATGTTCTGTGGGGCAGGCACTTAGGAGCTCAGGATCCAGGAGGAAATTTGTAAAGGACCCAGTCCAGTAATTGCTATCCCAGGTGCCCTCGGTTCCCGCCCAGCTGCTGCTGCTGCTCCTGCCTCCCCACTCCTCGCCACCTCCAGCCATAGGTTCAAGGCCCGTGACCGCCTGCAGGTCTTGGTTTTGCAAGCTGAGCTCAGCCTTGCGGAAACTGCCTTCTGGGCTCCCTGCCCACTGGCTGCATGTCTTTGGGGGACCCCGGCCAGCCCTGGGGCTGTGCCCTCACACGTGACAGGGTTTCAGATACCACAGGCCTCAGCTAGACCACAGTAAACAGCTCCCTCCCTGCTGACCCAGGATTCTTATTTGGAGATGCAAACCCATGAAGCACATGAAGTTCCACTTACAGCCTACCCGGCCAGCCTCAAGAATGTGGTCAAGCTGTGTGGCTACGTTTTGGGTTAGACATTGAACTTGGTCCCAACCTTCGAGTAACACTAAGAAAGTTACTCAGTTTCTCTGTGCCTAGAGTTCCTTCCACAACAAAAAAAAACGTGCTGTCAAGTTGATTTTGACTCAGTGACCCTGTCGGGGCAGGGTAGAACTGCCCCTGTGGGTTTCTGAGACTAGGGAAGTAGAAAGCCTCAACTTTCTCCCTCAGAGGAGCTGGCGGTTTTGAACTGCTGACCTCGAGGGTTAGCAGCCTAATTTGTGACCTACTATACCACCATGAAATGGTGATTACAGCAAGCAAGATTATGTATTAAGGTGCCCTAGTGGCTCTGTGGGCTAGGTGTTGGTTGGGTTGATGAGCACGAAGTTGGTAGTTCAATTCCACCAGCTGCGCCATGAGAGAAAGATGAGGCTCTTCTGTAGAATTTGACAGTCTCAAAAACCCTAGGCTAGGGAGCATCTCTTCTGCCCTACACGGTTGCTATGGATCAGAATTGACTCAGTGGCGGTGTGGGTTTAATTGTCTTGGGTTTGGAGACATTTTGATTGTCACAACGGGACAGAAGGGCTCTACTGGGTAGAGACCAGAGATGCTGCTACCCATGCACAGGATTCCCCTACAGCCAAGGGTGCTCTGTCCCCACACGTCCCTGGTACTGGGGTGGGAAAGATGCCGTGGTCTAGTGACCAGACATCTCACTTTTGGTGGGATAGTTCCGATTTTTGGAAAGAATGCACGACAAGCTAGGGAACGGTCTATTTGGTCCGTATAGACCAAATTTTTAATCAAGAACACCCCCACCCCACCCCGGTCCATGGTGCCCCACTTTAAATCTGGTCACCATACCCTGGTGCCCACACATGTGGGGCTTTCTATTGCATGATGGAGTGATTTTCAATCTGCCACTGATATGAGCAGTGCTCGCTCACTGGGATCTTAATTCGAAATTCCTTACTGATAAAGCTGAGTGTCTGCATGCGTCTGTTGGCAACTCACTTCTAGAACTGCCTGTTTTACCCTCTGCACAGTTTTCTCTTGGGTTGTTTCCATGACTTACTGCCAATTTTAAAGAACCCCTATTGTAAAAGATAACCTTTGCCATCTGCGTGAAATACTTTGCGCCATCCCCTCCCAAATTAAGTGAATGAGGTAATACTGAAGGCGAGGCTTGGAGCGCACCTCCCGGCATGTGGTTAGACCTTCAATCGGGAGGTCAGCTTTTGGCTCCCCTGTGCAGTGTCACCCTTACGCTGTACTGGGGCTGCTGGGGCATTCAGTAGGGTACTGGGTAGATATAAGAAGCAAATTGCAAAAAAAGAAAAAAAAAGAAGCAAATTGCCCATGGTGAGGGCAATAAGGACTGCACCCATGACCCAGCATGTCCGCAGGTGAAAGGTTGTGGGCCATAGAGTAGGAAATCGGAGGCAGCTCATCCTTCAACAGCCCAGTGAGAGAAGGTCTGTTCTCATCGTCCATGACACATCAACCAGCGGGTGAGCACGTGAAGCCAGGCAGCTGTCTCCAAGACTGGGCTCGCTCCACTCACCAGGGAAGGGCGGCTGAAGGTCATGGTGGCAGGTAGACGAGGTCAGCACATACCTACCCAGGTTTAGCACTGGCCTCCAGGCCCTCCTGGTCTGTATGTCTCCTAGGGGGGACGGACAGATCTCGGGCATAGGAGCGGAAGAGAGCTCTGCACTTGGGGGCTTGTGGCCCCCGAGAGATGAACCTGGTGCGTGTTGGTGGCCAGCAGTGGGATCTAGAGCGTGGTGTGGTGGCACACACTGAAGTCGTGTGCATTCTGAACAATCTGCATTGGGAAAAATGCCTTTGGGTCCTGCACAACCGTGTCGCCAAATGGAAACCTCAAGAATTGCAGAGTTGAACAGCCATCCCCCAAGGGTCTGCTTGGCTGTCATCTTCATGGAACAGATCTCCACACCTGTCATCCCTTGGTCACGGTGGGTTTGAATTCCCCACCCCCTTTAGGCTAGGAGTTAATGCAAACTTTACCCCAAAGAGGGTCTTGGGGATGTGCTGTAGCAGCTACAACATCTCTGTGCTGCCGCCTGCTTGGACCCGTGGCTCCATTGAGAGGAAGCTAGAGAAGACGAGGGGCAGGCTGCTGAGTCAGATCCCCCGGGAGGCACGTCTGCATTGGATCCATGGGGTGACAGTTCTGCGATTCCCTTGGTAAGGTGACATGGGGTGACGGTTCTGCGATTCCATTGGTAAGGTGGCATGGGGTGACGGTTCTGCAATTCCATTGGTAAGGGTGGCTTGCTCTCGCCTCTAAAAATCAGAACAGCGGGGCCTGAGGGGTGAGACCCAAGTCAGCTGGCCTGGGAAAGTCCTCAACAGTCTGGTGGATGAGCCAGTAGAAAGATGGGCTCATGCTGGGTCATGAGTCATGAGCTCATCGTAGGTCACGGGTGCATGTCACAAGGACCCTGGAGCATGAAAAGAGGGAATTCTACCCTTGACCATCTCAAGGTGGGGGCTGTCCAGTTCCCACAGACTGCCTGTCCCTACTCACTGGACTCAGTCTGCTTTCCAGTCCTCCCTCTTCACCTTGGCCTTGGGAGAGGGGCTCGAGTGGGGCTGGCTGGGCCTGCCCTGTCATTGTAGCAGGTGCTGTCTCAGCACCCTGCTGCCTGGGGACCACCCATCCCTAGGGGAGGGGCTCCCAGGGCTCTGCTCAGTGATGGATTGTTCCAGGGCCTGTAAGACTGCCTTCTGTCCAACAGCACTGTGACACACCCAGGCTCTGCCACATCCCGCCAGACCACAGACCCTGGTCGTCCCAGTCAGCCCCCATCTAGCCGGCCCAGCCCGAGCCTGCACTGTGGCAATGAGGCCTTCTCTCCCCTCTAGTCCCAGCTTCCAGTGCTCAATAAGACGAACGCTGGACAAAGGAAGGAGGAAGGAGATGAGATGTGGTGGCCCTTGAAATGAGCATCTGCTCCTCCTCCTTCTAATCTGTCCTGTAGGCTCTGTTGAAGTCCCGGGCAATTTGTGGGAGCAATGGGAGGTCCATAGACCAGTGTGATGGGCATGCTCTGGGAACTGGCTAAAGATGCAAATTCTGAGACACACACACACACACACACACACAGACCTCCTAAATCAGAACCTCGAGGTGAGGCTGGTGGGCTGTGTTCTTTAACAAGGCCCTTGGCATTCATGCTCCACTTTGAGGAACCGGTGCCCGGACACCATCACTCGGGAGTTCCCCTCTCTGTCTCTCAGGAGTGTGGAAAGAGCTTTTTAAGCCCCTCAGCCTTCAATGCCTGTCGCCATGTCAGCACCCCCACTTTGAACCTCCTTGGACCCCAGGTGGCTCCCTTCTAGCACGTCACTCCCTTTGTGTCCGGCACTCTTGCCACTTCTTCTGGAGCCCTAGCCGTCTGCTCAAGTACTGTAGATGAAAAGGAGGCTCTGAGAGGTCCTTCTCCCTTAAGGACTTCCCCACTCCGTGGGAGGCAAGTCGGTGACTCTGAGGCAGCCTCTGGGTCTCCAGGCGGGTGTGCCGATCTCATCTTGGAGGGAGGAAGACAAACCAGGACAGCCTGAGAGTTCAGCATGGGGGCCAGTCACCCACCTCCCCATGTGCTGCTGTGCTGGTGTCCAGCGAGGTTCTCTGGCCACCAGCATCTCGGAGCACTGTGATGTTCTCTATGCTTAAAAACCCTTTGGATGTTTGGGCTGCTTCCCAGCCACGAGTCTCCATGACCCCACTGTGGTGTGGGAGAGGAAGCCTGGCATTGGGTTGGATCTCAGCCTTCATTTTCTGACCTGGTGACCTTCAGCAAGAGACTCAGTGACTCACACCATCAGCTTGTGGGTGGACAAACCTCCAAACCAAACTCACTGCGGTCCAGTCCATTCTGACTCACAGAGACCCTATAGCACAGGGTAGAACCGCCCCTGTGGGTTTCCAAGACTGTAACTCT